CATCCATTGGTGGGGAGCATCACCTGCTGGAAAACGGGTCCAGCGTCCCTGTAAACAACCAGATGTCGTATAACATGCCACGTGTTCATCCCGAGTAACCTATACCCAATCTTTCCCTTTCCCCAGGCACCCAGGTATCAATATAGCAAAGATGGCAGATGAGGGCATCACGAACGTGAGGCAAAGGGGCATAACGAGCATGGCCTATGCAGGAAAAAGCACATGCAATGATCTCACCTCGCGATCCGTACCCAATCGTCGCGGCCTTATGGGAGAATACAGCATCTAAGCGATGCATATCCCAATCCTGCCGCTGACCACCTCGGGGACCCATATCCACCTCGCCATACGGGTCTGAAACCCCAGCGCCAGTCATGTCAATCATCTGCAGGTTCTGCGTATAGGCCAATCCTGCCTCCGTCTGCCATGCAGGGTCTCATCCTGCACACCGTCAGGGGCCTCAACCTCCCGAAGGTCGTGCATCAGTGTTGTGTCATTGAACAGGCAGCAGCAGAGCGTCGCCTGTGTTGTACTAGGGCAGCCTTCTTCCACCTGAGAGTGGTTGATAGTGATGGTCGCCTGGTGTTGTGCAAAAAATTTTCGCAGCTGCTCCAATAACATGAGGCAATCTTGTACATCATTTCTCACGTGTTCCTCATCAAGAGTGTCCGGTAGCGAGGAAACTATTGCTCGTAACGCGTCCCCCATCCCGCAAAGGTTTCTTCTGGACAGGCAACTACTTATCAGGCTGTAGAAGAGCCTGATGGTCACTCAAAATAGATGGGTAGAATATCTGAATATCTGAAAGGACTCCATACTCCCATAATTATGCAAATGACCATAACGAGAAGCCCATTTTCGGAAGCGGCAGCGTCCCCCGGAGCAACTCAAGAGTACCCCCTTAGCAGTCAATTCTCTGGATACCCAGAGTAATTTATGCTGCAGTACACCCTACAGTCATGTTCCAATCTCGCACATTGCAATTGCATGGGATACACCCCTTTGAGGACGGAGACTGGAATTCTTGTGGGGGCAAGGAATTTCAGGGTGATGATGGTCCCCCCCCCCTGCTGAGATGAGGTTCTCTGGACTCTTTACGACGACGGAGTTTTGGGGGACGAATGAGTTTCTTCCTTTTGATGATGGAGGCAGGATTGTTCGGGTTGTCTGTTTTGGGGGTTGCCTGTTTTCATGAATTTGTCCTATTCTCGTTAGAGTTTCATTAGTTTTTTTTTTTGTTTTTTTTTTTTCCCCCCGGGATGACTCCATCTATTGGTGGGGAGCAA